CTTTTTTCTTTTTTTTTTAGAACAGGCAAAAATCAATTCGCGCGCGGATATCATCCATAAAATTATGTCGGTGTGGCCTGACCTACGGAACGGACGGCTATTCCAACTTGGATTTGTTCATAGAGAGGGCTCGCCCTATAAATCCTACTGAAAATACGTACCAGGCTTTCGTTTGAACCTTTTTGCAAACAGTTTCCAAAAAGTCTCTCTTACTGTACTGTAGCATTAACCAAAATGTGTCCCATGTTTGAAGTCGTATACCAAAATATAAAATAACTTCAATTTCAGATAATCATTACACTGTGTTGTATTATTTCATTAATAGTGTACATTTGTAGATCGATTTGTTTTTGCATTAAACCTAATGACCAACACAACGCAAGTTAAGGTTTTTATGTAGATAATTCAACAATATATTCAAATGTAAGTAATTATCTACAGATTTATTTCTTAAATTGCTTCACATATCTAAAGTGACGATGCTTAAAACAAGTTGAGATCCATTTTCTAAAAACGAAGTGACATGGTTTTTGGTATTTCTCCCCTGTGTGATAGTATACATGGTTCAAAGTATTGTATTGGTTTAGCTTTCGTCTAAAAACATATATTTTCACAAACAATTATATAAACAGAAATGACAGAACATGTCTTTGACCTTGAACATGGAATAAATGGAGAAAACAAGGGCAGCTATTGATATTAGTGTTGTGTTCGAATTTTTATGGCAAAATGCTGATTTTTCAGCAAAGTAAAGCCCCTGTGAGAAGTAGCGACAATATAGCTTCCAGAGATGGTGGCTGCATGTCTCCAAAGGTTGTAAGGTAGTCGGCAGCAAGGTTTCGGTGGTGCGCGATGTTGCTCGCTACTAGTCTTTAAAAGTCTTCTGGATTCCAAATGGATGGATTATAAAACAATTTACGAAAATTTACAAATTTTTTTATTTTTTTCAAAATTTTCTAGTAATTGTAAAAAAAAAATGGAAAAAAAAGAAAGATTAAACAAATTTGTATTTTGTAAAAAAAAGCATCTGCTAAACTAGCGACGACCTTGCAGCGTCTGCAACAAGCTTGCAAGGTCATGGGAAGGTCCTGAATGTGTGACAGGGGTTGAAGATCGAGCGAGCATTGGTTGCAAGGGTAGCTGCAAGTTAATGCACAATCAGATGCCGTAGTTCACACATATCAACACAAGGTGTATATTTATCTCCACAAACGTGCAGTACAGTTATCTTAAACAGTTTTCCAATAGACGTCATCTTTAGTTCTTGGCGACAGTCTTTCTATACTGTCAGCTGTACATCGTATAACTACATGATACAACACACCATTTAGCGACTTCCAAACTATGGGTTTAGATACCACAGATGACATTTAACGAGATTTTAATGAGTTTGAAGAATTTACAATAACAGTTAAGTATCTGGGTCGGCTATAAGAAGAAACGTGTTAACATAACCGACAATTCAGGACAAAATAATGCAATATTAGACTCGTTGCATGCATGTTTTGTGGTTTCTTTTAATGTTTAACTCAGACAATATTTGATTTTGATAGTATTGATGCGGCGAGGTCTCTGTGTCTATTGTGGTAATAGTGTTTGTACCAAACATGGCCCCAAACACAAATAATACTCTTCACAAACTTCCGTCACAAAGAAGGGTGAAAACTTTTGCCATTAAAGGCAACTTTAGTGCCACAAAACAATAATCATTTTGGATGAAGAAATCAGATATTTGCATTTACTGCCATGTTTTTAGCACATTAACTTTTTTTGGTCATTATTTTATACTTGAAGCATTTGAAATCACTTATAGGTACCAACACAATACTGATACATAGCTAGAACAATATGAAGCCAGCAAATGTTTTCCGTTAGCGACATTGCATTTTGCTCATAGATATCAGTGTACTATGGGATAGGATTGATTCAACTTAGTACTGTACATTAAAATATTACCAGAAAATTAACTCTAAAAAGCCAGTCTTACTGCCCTGACATTACATTGGATACCTTTATACCGTTCAGCAAAATACTAGTACGTCCATATACATTATCTTATAATGGCAGTAGATGATGTGGCAGTTGATTAAAAAATGTTGTCCTTTGGTAATGCACACAACAAACAAAAACAACACAAAACATCAGAGTTCGACCGCTTTTCACCAATTTATTTTCAAAATCAGTAAAAGTCAATCCTGTACGATGTCCCAAAACCACAGCCATTCTTGTATTCCGTCATTCATGTCATTTTAGTAAGGGAAAAAATATCATTGAGCTAATATCAGTAATAGATTTATACTACATAACTTGTTACCGTTGTCACCAAAATACAAATAGCAGCAGTAGCGTAGCGTCAGTTTTTCAGTCATTACATAGAGTCTTGCATAGTTTTATATTTTTTGTATCGATTATATTTCATAGTTTCATCCCAATAACACCTATTGAAACCTCGATAGTTTGAGTTTCAAAAATAAAAAGGTAAAAAAAAAACGATGGTGTTGCTTAAAATTGCCGCGTTCTCGTGGTGTGAATGTTCAGCTGGCGGCCATAGATGGTCTTTTCATCACCTCTGCTTCTTTACTCTGAAAGAAAAAGAAAAAAGCCTGTTAGTTGTTTTTGCAAGTACAACACATAGTTCATTGACAGCAAGCATTAAGATGGCTATTAATTAAAGGTGTCCAGTGAAGGATTGTGGTGGCAAAACTAAAAATATTTGTCTAACGAAATCTTTTATATTTACACATGTAACCATATAGACCCATAGACACATTTGAGCACAAACAGCAACTAACCATCTTAAAGTAAACTTATTTATTGATGCGTATGGTACCGATAAATATACACTGGCTGGATGTAAATAAATTGTTAGCTTTCCTACACTTTGATGTGGCGCAATAATTTCCCATTTTTGAAATTGTTTTACTCTCTTCATCATGCTCCGCTATAGGGTTCTTTCATTTAATGTGCAAGAAAAACGACAGAAAATTCGCTTAGACATTGCCTTGATGTTACATATACACTGGGTGTCTTTAACAACTGATGGTAGTAAAAGATTGACTATAGTACTTTTTAATTGTCCATCGGTGCCTACTCCAAGTATTCCCCCTCGACGAACTCGTTGTCACCTAGAATTAGACAAAAACATCACAGTCAAGTGATGTCATGTCATGAACATATACCCGCAGCCAATCACGACGCTGCCTTCTGTCAGGACGCAACGTGATTGGCGGCAAGTTTCCCACCAATAACAGTGGGCGGAGTATCTGATTGGCTGACGATTGGCCCTGTAGCCATTAAGCAGCGAGAAGAACGTATATCGCCAAACATGTATCATTGTATAAATGTATAATTATCTATATTATTGAAATCAATGTTTAGTCTTACCTTGCACTTGTTCCTCCTCTGGGGCATATTCTAGAAATAGACCAAAATAGTACAGTTAGCCTCAGTTTGCCATGTGTACTTTCGTATATATAATATATGTAGTTTCCTTGTGTACAGTATTACAGCACTGCAAGAATTGATAAATGTCATGAAAGTTCATCTGTGTTGGTAGTTACATGTTCAGAGTTAAAATTTTTGGTCCAACACAAAAAAGCTTTCGACCAGTCACTCTAGTCTTCCTTAGTGGAGTGACCACAGTCAGTAAGTCCACTGAGGAAGACCAGAGTGACTGGTCGAAAGCTCTAGGTGAGAGAACTTTTTGTGTTGGACCAAAACTCTAAACAAACTGATAAATGTATTAACATTTCAATCAAACATGCATCTCTATTCACTTCTATGTAGACAGTCAATGCAAATAGACAGCTGCAAAATATATAAAAGAAACAAAAAAACATGGTTCTGGATGAAGCTCGGTTCTGGAAGCGTATGGACTATCCAGAACCGTGCCGTTCTGGATAAAAAAAAACTACTCACCCATCGTATCACGCAGCTGCTGCTCCAGGGTAGCCAGCTGGGCGGCCAGCGCAGCCAGGCCACTGGTGTCCTGGTTTTCTGCACACAAAAAAATACAATCATCAGATGTCAGTTCTTCAAACATATATTAAGATATACAATAGAATTACAATACAAACGAAAAAAAAAGTTGAATTACTTTTACATAAGAAAAAGTTCTATGTCTGGCTACTTTAATAATATATTTTCTTACAGAAATGTTTCTGTGATTTCTATAAAGTTCTTATCACAAGTTTGTATGAAACAACTTAATCAGACTTAATCTTCCATCCAGCGGCTTTTACTTGTATTGATAGATTTACTATTCTACTTTTTGTGACATTTGTGGCATAACCAATCAGATGTTTCCCCTTCTGTTAGTGAAGGATGGTTACCAGCCAATCACGTTGCCTCTTGGCCGAAGGTGATGCCGTAATTTGCTCGTAAAAATTTGTGTCAAACAGATTTCTAATGTCCTTTTCTTACCCAGTTGCTCCGGAGCATCCAGATCCTCGTCGGCTGTCACCTGAACCTCCACCTGTATTGCCTCTGGCTCATCAACGGTCTCCATTCCCATCTGAGCCTCAGCCAAGGCTGCATCCTCCTCAGTCGCCAGGTCCCTCTCCTCCTGCTCGGCCAGAGCCGCCATCTCATCAGCATCCTGGATCTCCTCCGGAGCCAGTTCCCTCTCCTCCTGCTCTTGCTCTTCCTCCAGGGCTCTCATCGCCTCGTCAGCCTCCATGTCTTTCTTCTCCTGCTCCGCCAGAGCTGCCATCTCCTCAGCATCTTGCATCTCCTCGGGAGCCACCTCCCACTCATCTTCCAATTCATCCTCATCCTCCTCTGGCATGCCCTTCAGTTCCTGCACACGCTGCATCAGGCTGGAGAGCCGTGCGGACAGGTCATCCTCTGAAAAAGTAAAATAGCACAGCTGTTACGATGGAATGACTTTATCTCAAAGAAGAACATCAGACTCCGAACCAAGCAACAACCAGTGTCCTCATATGCAAACGCCGGCTCAGCTGGTTAGGACACGCCGTCAGACTCCCACCTGTCAGACTCGCCAACCAGGTACTACAGTAGTGCCGAGAAGGACGGAGAAGGAGGGGGCGTCCTAAGATGAACTGGTGACAGGCAGTGGAGAGGGACCTTCAGGCAGTCAACATGAGCTGGTAGGAAGCCTTGAGGCTGGCTGCTGACAGAGGAAGCTGGGCTACTTTGACTGCCTCATGCGTCACGAGACGCGGGAGCCCCCAAGTCTAAGTAAGTAAGTATTACCTTCTATTCTTGTTCCCGTTATTATATTACATATATCAAGTACTGGTTACCCTAGAGAAGCTGTTATTTTTGAGACTCCAAATTCAACATATACTTCACAGACATGACTTATAAGCAAACAGATTTGAGGTCTTGATAGCAAGAAAACTATGACATACCCTCGTCGAAGTCATCTTCTTCTTCCATCTCTCGTGCTTCCATGTCTTCTTCATCTTCCAATTCATCTTCCTCTTCCTCTGGCATGCCCCTCAATGCCCTCATACGTTGCAACAGGCTGGAGAGCCGTTCGGACAGGTCATCCTCTGAAAGTGAAATATCAAAGCTGTTAAGACGCAGTTTTATTCGCCGTTGGTCCTCGTACGATTTAAGGGTATGACATGGTATATATACTCATAGTACTCATTGTCCTAGAGAACCTGTTATTTTATAGACTCCAAATTCCACATATATTTCACAGACATGACTTATAAGCAAACAGAGAAAGCTATGACATACCCTGGTCGAAGTCATCTTCTTCTTCCATCTCTCGTGCTTCCATGTCTTCTTCATCTTCCAATTCATCCTCCTCTGGCATGCCCCTCAATGCCCTCATACGTTGCACAAGATCGGAAAGCCATTCGGACAGGTCCTCCTCTGAAAGCAAAATATCAAAGCTGTTAGCAATTTCCAATTTAACATTACTCACCGCCACCCTGCTCTCGTTGGCGGACAGGGAGTGGCGCCCCTGCCCATTGAGGAGCTGCAGCCCACAACATACACACACAACACAGCGACGACCCCATCCAATACCCCCACCGTGCTGGAGCCCTCAGCCAATTGAGGTTTGCACGAAATGGGAAGTTACGGAGCAGTTATATTCGCCGTTAGTCATCGTACGATTCTAAGGCATTATGTATGGTCATGCCATCTAATGCATACTTCTAATGGAATCTAAAACATATTATATCGAAAATAACTACCAGCACATCAGGTTGGTAGTACATAGGACATTTGGGCTTCTCTTATACACAGTCATTTTCTCCTTGCTTACGCTTCGATGTCTATCAGACACCTTTCTCAGGGTTTCTTCCTCATAGCTTCAAAGAGACTAGGAAGCTCTGAGTAAGTTGTCTGGCAAACATCGAAACGTCAGCAAGGTGAGAATGACTGTGTATAAGAGAGGCCCAATGCCCAAAGTACAGAAGTACTGGTTATATATATGAAAAGCCCATGATCCAATAATTCTTTTTATTGTAAGTCCTATAGCTCTTGGACAACACATCTTGTACAAGACTTAGTGCTCAGCATGGGATTAAAGAATTGGTAGTGGTGTGTGCTCAATTTCCACACTCTTTCTCGTAAGTACTGGTTGCCTTGGAGAGACCGTTATTTTAGAAACTACAAATTCCGCATAGATCTCACAGACATGACTTATAAGCAAACAGCTTCAAGGTCGTAATAGTAAGAAAACTATGACATACCCTGGGCAGCATTATCTTCTTCTTCCACCTCTCTTTCCTCTTGCTCTTCTAGAGCCTCCTCATCTTCCGCCTCTGCCTCTTCCTCCATCTCCCTTGCTTCCATTTCTTGCTCTTCCAAAGTTTCCTCTTCCTCCATGTCTGCTTCTTCCTCCATCTCTCTTGCGTCCATTTCACCTTCGTTCAGATCTTCGTCGACGTTGTCCTGATCTATATTTACAGAAGTAAAAGTAGGAACGTTCATTAAAGAGGTTTATCAGTCACGTAGAATTATCAGTTGTAGAATATTCCTTAATCAGTGACTTTTTTTTGAAAGGTAGAAACACGTACCTCCAAGATTCACACAAGTTTCGACCTATATAGCTAGTCTCGTTATCTCGCAAGACTAGGTCACTCCGTGATCAAGATGTACAGTGGACAGTGAAAATTTGGAGGTACGTGTTTCTACCATTCAAAAATAGTCACTGATTAAGGAATATTCTACTAACTAGGAACGTTCAGTTGTCATTCTTACATTCTACCTGCTAACACCTGAAGCAAACTTTTGATGCCGCACAACTTTATTTGTGTTGGCGTAATACGTCCTGTCATGTCAGGTCCACTGCTTCTATGTGTCAAGCAGCTGCCGCCCGTACTTCTAGTTGCGTTAGCGCATCAACCAATCGGATGCTACCCCTGCTGTTATGGTTGGCCTGAGAAAGTTGCTAGCCAATCACGACGCCGTCTACGGTCAGGAGACAACGCGATTGGCTGGTAACTTTTCCAACAGTAACAGATGGGAGAGTATCTGAGTGGCTGACGGCTGGCACGCGCTAAAGTGAGCGGTTAGACTGAGTGTTGTTGCTTGGTACATACAGTCGGTGGAGATGGCATTGAGAGGATGGTCTGATCTTATGACTGTGAAACAAAATTAATTTAGAAAATTAAAGACAAAAATAACACGTGGGGGTACTGACCTGCCAACACACTGTTCATCTTCTCCAGAAGGAAGTCCAACCGCTCAGACAGGTTATCTGTTTGGAGGATAACAACAATCGAATAATTAAATGTAGCAAGGGTTTTGGTACTAGATATGCCAAGAAAGAGGTATATTTACGTAGAAGACGGAGTTAACGTTATTGAGAAATAAGTATGTAAGGAAAATGAATGAATGAATGTTAGAATGAGTGAATAAAATAGTGAAAGATTAAATGAATGAATGTTTGTCAATGAATGAGTGAATGAAATAGTGAAAGATTGAATGAATGAACGAATAAATGAACAAACGAATGAATGAATGAACGAACAAACGAATGAATGAATGAATGAACTACATACCTTCTGCATCTCGCTTGACTCTGATCGACTTCGCGCCAATCACGGTTGTCATGGCAACGATGGCCAGCAGACAAACACACCACTTCATGATGAGGCTGTACAGGTGACTGGTATGGTCCTGAAAAAGTACAGGGTAAAAAAATTATGTAACTAGAAAGGTAAAGCTTGCAGAGTAAATGCATGATGTTTACCTTCGCATATGGTCTGCTCTTAGGTGTTTCTTACTTACTCTCCAAGCAAAGGTTTTTAGGCTTCGGTTCATGGTGCTAGGTGGCGCTTTTCGGGGCAGCCGCACGAAAACGTCGCTCCGTGTTTTGTGTGTGATTTTAGCAAAGTTATTACCTTTTTAGCCCCCCAGTGCAATATTCTGTATGTCCGAAAGTTTCCTGAAGCCCTTCGGACTTGTTATGTACGTGTGTGGACCTGTTTTATGCAACTTTAGACTGTTTATTGCTTGGACACCATCGAGTCCTGCATAATGGCTTCCTGCCCAAGAGCGATCGTCCGGTACTCCTTGGATTTTCTTCGGGGTTTGAAGAAGACATCTGCCCCGGTCAACAACATCATCAGCATCATCAACAACAAGTTCACCGACATCACAACATCCCTACCACCGCTTGACGTCACCAAGCTACCAGCGTTTCTTCCGTCACGCGCTCCCCCCACAGCTCTTCCATGGGAGGTGTACAACAAACTGTTACAAGTGAAGGTGAAGAAATCACCTGGGCCGGATGGAATAAACGGCGTCCTACTGAAAGAGTTTGCATACGAACTCTGCACGCCGATCGCGAATATCTTTAACGAGTCTCTGTATGAAGGCATAGTGCCACGGGAGTGGAAGGAAGCTGTTGTTGTTCCACTTCCTAAGTCTCACCCACCAAGCATCGATCAGTTACGTCCAGTCTCACTGACGTCTTTAATCGCGAAGGTTTGTGAGGGATTCATCGCTTCGTGGGTACTACAGGACATCGGTAACAACATATCTCCCAGTCAGTTTGGATGTCTGAAGGGTCGTTCGACGACGCATTGTCTTGTTAACTTGGCCGACCACCTGTTCAAGTCGGCAGACAGGCGTGGAACAAGCAGCACGTGGGTACTGACGGACTTTAGTAAGGCTTTTGATCTTGTAGATCATACCACAGCCATACGTCACCTCCTGGAGCTTGGAGTCCGCCCGGAACTTGTTCCATGGATTGCCAGCTTTCACACTGACCGGAGTCAGAAAACTAGGTACCAGGGAACTCTCTCGCAAGTGAAACACCTTACCTGTGGCCTGGCACAGGGAACGAAACTCGGCCCTATTGTCTTTATAGCTCACGTCAATAGCATCACCGACAACCTGACCGCTAAGTCGTGGGCATTTGTGGATGATCTGAACCTGATCGAAACAAGACTTGCTGCACATCCACCTACACTACAGGGCGATCTTGACAACCTCTCTACGTGGACAGAAACCAACAGAATGAAACTGAACCCGGGAAAGTGTAAGGCAATGCAAGTCTGCTTTGTCCGGATTCCTCCTCCTCCTCCTGTTCTCACCATTGGCGGCCATGAACTTGAAGTTGTCGGTATCGCCAAGTGCTTAGGAGTAACCTTTCAGTCAGATCTGAAGTGGGACATGCACGTCCTGGAAATGTGTAAAAAGGGGAACCAAAGGCTGTATCTCCTATGTAGGCTGAGGCAGTTTCACCTACCAACACACGACTTGGTTACTGTTTACACGAGTTTCGTACGGCCGGTCCTGGAGTATGCAACACCCCTGTGGCACCCAGGCTTAACGTCCAGTCAACGGAGGAAGATAGAGAACATCCAAGTGCGGGCAACTAAGATCATCCTCGGCAACACCTTTCACAGTTACTCTGCAGCATGTGAAGCACTACAACTCCAGAAACTCGAAGACCGACGTGTCTCTCTGTGCCTAAAGTTTGCCCAGAAGCTGTACAAGTCTGAACAGTACAGACATTGGTTTCCTCGACTTCGGGGAGAGATCAGTGGGAGGGAAACAAGACAGAACAAAAAACTAGACCAATTGCCAGCACGCACAGCAAGATATGCGAAAAGCCCGTTGCCTTACCTCGTCCAGCTTTTAAACAGCACTCTGTAATGTAATCCTGTAATGTACATGCCGTTATATATTTGATTTTAATCTAGTACTTTTAATGAGGTTGGTATTTTAACTTTTAGTGTTGTATTGTAAAAATGTAATGATTTTATTGCCACAATATGTTTCATACAATGTACGGGACATGTAATTCAGCCTTCGGGCTGTGAGGTGTTTCAAATAAAACCCGCATTATTCATTTTTGACGCTTTCATGCGTTTTAAGGACTTTCTTTTGTTTCCTTAACTTACTCTCCAAGTAGATGTTTCAAAAGCTTGGGTCATTTTTGACATGTTTCCGGGCATTTTGGGGGGCTTTCTTTTTTTTCCTTAACTTACTCTCCAAGTGGATGTTTCAAAAGCTTGGGGTCATTTTGGACATGTTTTCATGCGCGCGTTTTATTGGGCTTTTCTTTTTTACCCCCGTCAACTGGATGGCAAATGGATGTTGCCCTGGCGATTTGATACTGTCACTGAAAGAAAGATCTGCTTGGGGGTCATTTCTTACCACATGCAGTTAGAGTTTATATGTTTCTTACTGCGCATATGTTTTTAATAGTTGTTGTCTGCGAACCTCTCAATCAAATTATATATATATATATCATTGTACCAGATGTCTTCACTGGCTAGAGAAATATTCTTCACTCCCTCCAGGCGACATTTGCCCCATATTCTACAGGTTGTTGTGATGCTTTTCAACAATAGACTAGCTTCATGCATATTCAACATGTAGAGAGACCGGTTTTTCCTCCAGGTACATATACTTTGAAGACGCAGCCTTGCGTACCAAAAAAAATTGTAGTTGTTCGATTGATTTTTCTGTATGACTGCCAGGATAAATTTGGTTGGCAAAAGTTCAATTTCCCACGGGAGAAGATTTTTGCGTGTAAAAAAATGCTGAATTCGAATCCTGAATGAAACTAAGACATGGGCTAGTATAAACACAATGTGACTAATTGTCTAGTCTCACAGACAAGACAGGCTATTGTATAAATCACACGGTACGAAATTACAATGAGGGACGGTCACGAATTATGTTTCATTCTTTTTTACAACATCCAACCATCCTCCAGTACGTATATACTTGCTTTGAGGTGTCGATACGTTGGGGGAAGTTGTCGGCGTGCTCAGCTGGATCGTAAAGAAGTCGGGCAGATGTTGGGAGGGAGTCGGCCCGCAGGCTTTGGCGTCTCGGGGATAATTACGAATACAGGTGCATTCCAGAAGTTTGGACACTTGGATAGTCTGTGGTACTAATTTCTTGCGAAACGCGGACTCTTTTTTTCCTCAAAAATGTTATCACTTTCTGAATACTGAGGGTTTTCTTTGCTGTACTTAAGATCTGGGCATTGAACACAATGGTATGGGGAGCCCGTAGGCATTTCAATAATTGGTCTTCCCGAGTTTGTAGTCTCCTTAGTAGTCTCTACGCGTTACGCTTTTTGGGGATTTTGAATGTGCTTATGAATATGATTATCATATCTCGGTAGCCTCTACCAGGCTTTCAGAAGCGGCTGGAAAGGGTAGAAATTTGCCAAAAGACAGATAACATGCGAGAGGAGTACAGTTTGCCCCTACAGACTTCTGGGCGACAAACTGTACTCCTCTAGCAGACTACATTGTAACTCCCCTGGCAAGTTATCTGTCTATTTTGACAATTTTTACTCTTCCCAGCTGCTTCTGAAGCCTGGTAGAATAAGTTCTCGGTACCCGGTCTCCTGTTCTACGAAAGTGGCGAACAACAAACGGAGTGTCAAGAACAGATACGCCGTCAGAAGAAAGGAACATCACAGCCCCCAAAAGAGTCTACCACAGGGAAGCCTACGAGTCTGCTATTTTGAGAGATTTGACTGTACAAAGTTAACAGACTTATATCTATACTTTTGTCAGTGTTGCATATTTACTTACAGTTCTTTATCCACAACCAGATATTTGTTGGCTGTACAAGATAGTAACAAATTGACAAAACAGTGTCCATTTTCCACCAGTTTTACCTGGCGTAAAAAAAGATACCAATACAAGAAAGAAATCCCGATAGAAACACGTCAAACATAATCCGAAGGCCAAGCCTCTGCTTGGAGAGTATATAGTTCTAACCTGTGTATCCTTACAAGTCAAAAACGAGATATACTCGGAGAAGGAAAAAACACCTACCTGTTCTGGAAAACCACCTTGAGTAGAATGACTTCTTAAGACAATGTTCTTAAGACAACCAAGACTCAAGATGGCCCAGTTTTAGACTTCCTCAACTTCCATATATGGTAATCTGAAGTCCCCGGATGTTCTCACGTGACCAGGGACCAATCATTTTTGTTTCTAGGGAAGGAAATGTAACAACTATTTTCCCTTACAAAGTTCTTTTATAAGATCTGTAATATATGATATTTAGTAGTTATGAGAGGCAGTCACTAAAAATGTTTGAAGTACATTTTTAGTTCATAAGGTCTTTAATTGGCACTCCTCTTAAGGTATCTAATGATTTGCCCCGTAACATTATACAAAGGCGCAGCGATGCATTGCGTCAAAAGTTGTCAGACCGGTAAAACAACTAGTTCTGGATCAAACCTGTCAAAGGGGCGTTGTCAGATGGTCCCGTAGATAAGATTTTTGAGGAAAGTTTACAAAACACGGTTACACTTATAAACGAAATACAGGTATCATGGTGTTTTTTTTTCTTCGACATTTTGGAAAATTTGGGTGTCCAGTAGGCCATACTTCACAGGTGCATGTTTTGCGCTTATGTCGTAACCATACTGTAGCAGTCAAGGCGTCATGTCCCTGGGGCACAAATGTATGATGGATATAGGGACAAGCTTGGCTGCTCAAGAGGCCCAATCAGCTCATGACAGCGAAATTGTCTACGCATACAGGATATTGCACAACTACTTAGCCTCTACCAGGCTTCGGGAGGCGGTTAGAAAGAGTCACTAAGAAATTGGCAAAATAGACAGATAACAGTCTCTACCAGATTCCTTTGGCAGGAGGACCAGTTGGACCCTCGATGGCCGGCAAACTCCTCTTGCCAGTTATGATCCCCTAGCTTTTTTATGCCGATTTCTACAATTTATTCAGTCTGGAAAAAGAGTACTAGTATGGTGGAGACTACAGATGAATATGCCAGGCAAGTTGGTCCGCTACAGAGTCGGGGTAAACTGTACTCCTTTAGCGGACCAACTCCCCTGGTATGTTATCTGTCTATTTGACAAATTTCTACTCTTTCCAGTCGCTTCTGAAGCCTGGCAGATGCAGAGGCCACAACAACCCCCCTTTTGAAGGGAAGAAGCTTACTTTAGTTTTTAGACTTTTAAATCGTATCTTTCGCCACCTGACCCTCCTTCTAACACAAGATAAATTAATTATCCGCTTTGAAAACCAAACAACTATCAATGCTTTTATTTTAACATTGCTAGACGTAAATGCCATCAAGTCTGCACCGTGTAACGCATAAATAAGGTGCTATTATAATTTATTTGTAAACATATGAGCAAGAAAACACAACTTCATAAGTGTAACATTGGATATGTTTGGAAGTGGCCAGCGGCAACTATCAGACATAACATGTACTGCAGATCTTTCGAAACTTGATGTAGATGAGTTCAATGAGTCTCTACACTGCAAAGAGTGAGATCCAACTCCAGTTTTGTCTTACAGTTCATTTAATAATATGTAATACCGAAGGAAAACATATAGTTTTTTGCTGTTTCCTCTTCTTCTTCTCCAAACTAATAAGGTCAATGACCTGAACCAGATATCTGACACCATTTTAACTAGTGTTGGGTTACATCATGTTGAAAGTTTATAGTCTCCTGTCTGACCATATATATGAATTTGTTTGGGTAAGAATTAACAGAGCAGATATACAAATGTAAACATTATGCAGTTGCTTTGCAAATGTTACCTTTCTGGTTTTGATATTGTAATTTGAAAGAAGTCTCCACCAGACTCCTTTTGCAGGCTGAATAAATCGTAGAAATCGGCCTAAAAGTAAAACGGGAATAATATAATTGGCTACCTTCTCTGGTCAATTATATTATTCCCCTCTTAGGCCAATTTCTACGATTTATTCAGCCTGCAAAAAGAGTCTAGTGGAGACTACTGTAATCTGAAATGGTTAATTGTCTAACTCCATTATGTATAATTATCAAACTCATGCGTCAATTAAACTGGGCATGCGCACAACGTAACACAGACAACACCGCATCTACTAAAGACACGTCAGCAGACAACTGTATAGCAGGTCATGGGATTTTTTTTCCTGCATTCTTGCATCAGAAAATCTAATTCTACCATTAAAGGCATCCAGTGCAGTTTTTAGGGCTTGGAATCCCGACAAATCCAAATATTCTAGTTATTTATCTACATATACTGAGTTGAAGCCACACTGCCACACTATCCAAATGTATATTGACCCTCATGGAGAAAAATTTCCCAAAATTCTGACGGAAAATGGTTACTGGAGGGGTCGTGGGCTGATTTTAGGGTACCGCCCAGAAAATAAAGGACTCATTTTGGGTACACTTAAAATAACTACCAGTACTACAGTAATAAAGTCTAAGCTTCTTTACAGCTTCTGGTTACTTTGATTGTGGCTTCATTGCCTTCCTGAGATGGTGATAGTTTGGGAGAATCTTCATCAGGAAGTCCAGCTGTAGGGTCTGGGGCTGTGGGAAACAGTAGCAAACGGTGTTAGATTCACTTGATCAAGATCTAGTTTCTCATTACTGTTTTGATCACTACAATTATAGTAGTTGTATCTGTGGTCTCTGACTAGTGTTCTCAACATCTATCATTCTGTAGTCTCTCACCAGTGTTATCAGTATTACAGAACTGTTTTCTATCTCTCACCAGTGTTCACTGGCAAGAGACCACTGAGGCATGCATCACTAAGAGACATCTGTAGTACTGAGAACACTGGTAAGAGACTAATGTGAAATAAACACATCTGTAGTACTAAGAACACCAGTAAGAGACCACAGGAATGCAGCTCTATAGTCCAGGAACACTGGTGAGAGATAGCAAACAGTTCTGTAATACTAAGTAAGAACACTGGTGAGAGACTACAGAATGATAGATGTTGAGAACACTAGTCAGACACCACAGATACAACTACTATAATTGTAGTGTCTGCCTATTATATCTCTCACCAGTGTTCCACTATGCCTGTTTACCCAGGCCTGTGTTTACCTGAGGTCTCTCCCCCTGGACTCGCCGCACACATTTCTTCCCATACACGACGGTGTTGTCCGGGATGACCTCCTTGGAGTTGACCTCACAGAAGGACCCGATGACACACCCACTACTCAGCTCTGTCTGTCTCCCTACTCGAGCTGGAAAAAAAAAAACATGGACATTTGAAAATCAGACTATCGGTATGGGGGCCTGCATGGCGGGTCCCGACAATGCTCTACTCTCAATTTTGAGAGCTGGCATAGAATTAAAACGGGGAATACGCTCTACGCAAAATGCGCAGACTCCGTGAGCAGTGGATCATACATGTAGGTTGCAGAGACAGGGGGCGCCACGGACTTTCTGCAACCTATGATCCACTACTCACGGAGTCACTTGTGTTATCTGCGTGACGTCACGGAAGCAGTGGATTGTTCATTCCTTGACAAAGACTGGAGTTGTACAGTCGAAAATTTGGGTGAGTCCAATTTGTTGTGTTGGAAATTGAAGTTTAAACTTGCTTCATATGATTTCTACCAACACAGATGAACTTTCAAGATAAGTATAAAATCCTCCTAACCTTTTGCTTCCACCACATTGTTGTCTCCTATTCTGAGTGACTCACAGTCTGTGACTATAGTTAAGGACTATGTGTATTGATATCTGTAATGCTCATACAATTAGGCTAAAGATAGTGTAAGTGTATGCTTGCATTCAAAAACACTTGCAACAACACGTTAACTAAAAAATTGTCTTTTTTCGATGGTTTGTAGTATGACAACACAAAGGATACGACATCCGACTTCAAACACATTGTTGACTCCTATCTCCATGGTAACTGGCTCGGGAGCGGTCTTGTCAGCTCTGAAAATAAACAAAGAACATACTGAGCACTCCAACTTGCAATGTGGTGAGAGATCGAAGAGAATGTTATTGAGTGTAACTGACACAATAGGGCCTTCCGTAAGGTTTTCTATGACTACAGCTACATAACAGTCAATCTATCAAATCTATTCTATCAATATTGTGTTAACTATACACACTTATAGCTATATAGTTTCTAATTGTCTATAAACATTTTCTAATGTATCTATCCTTTGCACACTGTAAAGATTGTCTGCTTGTAAAATATAATGGAATATCAGTTATAATTCTAGAGAATAATTTGGGTTTCACCTTAAGCACACCAGAGTAGCTGTTTGACTACCAATAATCTATAACTTGTGGGGTTAGGTAGCAGGGGGAGGGTTAATTCTGTACCATACTTCACACTTCACATGTACACTTCAAAGAAGCCACGTGACAAGCCTCACTGGGTCAGTCTACTGAGGAAGACCAGAGTGACTGGTCGAAAGCTCTAGGTGAGAGAATTTTTTTGTGTTGGACCAAAAGTTTTAACTTTAAACTGTACCATACTGGTATTACAAATTGTGTTGACGCTTTGTATACGTGGGGTGTTTTCCTCAACTTTTGCATGCACTTTTACACCAATTATATGCAATGCCATGTATATTGGAAGGAATATAAGAAAATCCTACACCGTCAAGCAAAATTAACAAATTCATAGGACTGTTCATAAGGGTGACCCAGATGTGAGACTATTGTGCAGTTGTCAATCACAATTATGGCTGGTGACCTCTGACCTGTTGATAATGAGAACTTGTTCTTCGATCAGGTTGCTCTCCCCGATGACGATTGGTCCTCCCTCAGCGATGATGCGTGCTTTGGGATGAACCACTGTTCTGGAACCTACGGGGGGAGGGGGGTAAAATACATCTGATTCTACTTTTTTTAATTCAAAAGTTTTCAAGAGGCAAAATCCTTTTCTCTGACAGTATAGGTACTAGTTGGTATTCCAAATGAGCCAAAAAAATCATTGATGAAAAGAAAATGATTGAATGGTGCAGCAGTAGGCAAACTTTGTCCGGTGCAGGTATGTAATTTTGGGCGGTACTTGCACAGGTAAGCATAAAAAAGGATTTCGAGCCCTGGATGGTTTTTGACCCACCTGTTTACAGTAATTTTTTGTCTGTGACAAAAGCACATTTTTTTGCATTAGCAGCCCACTCAATCAACCCACACCGTACTATGGAAGGCCTGATAGTCATTGTGTAACACAGGCTAGTTGTCTACAGGTATGTGACATACATGTGGAGACAATAGACAGGTATGACACACCTGGGCAACAAGTCATTAAAACGTTCCTTATTCCCCATACACTGGGGAAAGAAAACATTTAAGTTTGTGGCACCTAAATTTGAGGGTTATACATGTAGACACACACACACACACACACACACACACAAATACCAAGGAGGTTTCTTGCAAATACACAAACATACACACACACACACACACACACACACACACACAAACACACATACACACACAAATACACACACACACAAACACACACACATACATACACAAATACACACAAACTACACACACGAATACACACACACACACAAATACACACAGTCATATAAACAAAGAAATGCCAGTGCCCTGATTCAATAATGACTACTTTAATACCAATGATCCATAAAAAAATTGTCTACCAACACCATGCAGATTATATATCAGTATTATATACTATATTAGTATATATAGTACCAGCTCCTCAAGTTTAGTACATACATTTTGTACTTAGTATTTTTCACTTATACTGACTTAAAGTTTAACAAGTGCACCTTACAGTTTTGCTATGGTTGACTTATCCTGACTGCACCTAATGTTCACCTTAAACCGTTTACTTAACTAAGGAGGTTTAGATAAACATTCTCTTTCAATGTTGTAACCAATGCAGATGCCAGTAGGGAGATGGCTAAATATATCTGCTTAAACTAACATAGACATATCAGTTCTCTTTCCCATGTTATGTTTAATAACTGTGAGATTATTCTTTTAAGAAAAAAAAATGGAAAAATTATGGTAGATAAATAAAATAAACAAATAGATAAATAAGGTATTTGTACCATAGATATGCTGTATATATTAAATGTTTCCAGTGGTTTTGTTTTCATAGTTTTCGCAGTGATCTCTTACCAAATCATGACACAGAGAATACATGTTTTGTATTTCTACTGTACCACAAAATTGTTTCAACCGCAAACCTCAAACACGGTAAATCCTCCTTTCCTTTCAACACCCAAATGTCCTAACAAAGTTGATTATGGTGATAACATACTAGTAATAATCTAGAGGTAATAGATCATTATCATTATCAATATTTTATTATCAGTTAAATAAAACAACCCAATATCTTGTGTCCTTGCCAAGTTATTCATGATTTAAAGTTAACCCTAACCATAACCCCCTGTGCCCTAACCCTGACCCTATAGGCAAAATTGCTCAACACAGTGCCATGCCAACTTGGTATCATTTGAAAGCTCTCTTGGCCAGATGAAGTCTTTTGTTTTGATGCATGCATTAAAAACATTCAACAATGTTTCATGTATACACCAAATCTGTATTGTCAGCTCCTGTTTTTTCTATGTATTGTCAGCTCCTGTTTTTTCGGTATTGTCAGCTCCTGTTTTTTCTATGTATTGTCAGCTCCTCTTTTTTTCTACACCTACTCAAAGTCAAACTTCAGGCCAGTTCCCTCCAAATTCTCTTCATACTTTGCATCAAACGCTGCATTTTGCTCATCGGTGAACATGGATTTCCAGTCTCCAGCGATGCCTTTTCTGGCGATGATACTCCTACAGCCGATGTCGGCTGACTTGTCGTACACAACTTTCAAGTTGCGAAAGGTACAGGTCTCCACGATGCTTGCGACTTGAGCTTCTTCTAACTCCGCCTCTAAGAAAGTAGCGACCTTCTCCACAGCTCCTTTCATATCCTTCTTCATGTCTTCATACTTCAGGAAGAGAAAGTGAGGGTCGTCACGCAATTCCCACCAGCCGAGAACATGGCGGTAAAAATCGCCGTACTCCCATCGCCCCTGGAGGAAGTTGTCCGCGAACGTTCCCCAGTCGTCCTCATTGTCGCCGAGCTTGGTTGAGAAGTGGTAGTACGAGACGGCGGTATCCTTCGGGTTCCTCATGATTGAAATTATCTTCGTGTTTCCCGTCGGGCTGGCGACCCCCGGTGGAGCAAACTCGCGGTGCAGGTGCGTACAGATCAGTCTCGGCGACGGCTTGCCCTCCAGGAAACGATGATTGGTCCTCGTCTCATCTGCGATTTCGTCATCGAACTCTAAAATTCGTCCCGGCGCCTCCGGATCCATGGTAGCCTCCGTGGTCTTCCCCGCAGCTCGCATGACGTTGTTGATGATTTCTGCGCACCAGTGGTTCCCAGCTTTAGGGAATCCCACAACAATGACATCGTCATCACGAATGTGGAAATCTGGCATGGCGTCGAGGTTTTCTTTCCGCGTACACCCTGGGAAGACGGTTCCCTTGTACTCGAAGAGCCATGGCTCCTCTTCCTCGACGTCTTTACCAGCCATGTTTTTGTTGAGACTTTGTTCCTTTCACTGCAAGCTGATTTTTTTAACTTTGTTTCATTCAACTCAACTTCTCTGTGAGCTCAGACCACTGCAAGAAAAAAAAAACACAAGAATGAATGAAACAAGAAGCAATCCACATGGATCTGTTTTGTTTGCATAAGAACCAAGGCTGACTAGTTTTGTCCTGTTAAATTTGAATACAGATTCTGTCAAGTTTAGGACTGTACATGCCATTTGCTCGTAAGCAAATGCAATTTCACTCCATCTCCCTCCCCATTCCAAATTTCATGTCATTTGGCCCCAAAATTAAGAAATTAATGCATTTGAATAAACTGCAGGAGAGGAAACTCCATGCCTATGATAATATATAATAAGTAAATATAAATGAAACCATATATGGTATGGTTTGAAACAAAAATACATTTGTACACAATCACGTGTACAGTGTGAAAGACACAGGAACCACACAATCAACACTTATCATCATGCTTACCATCATTGTTCATCCACAGCTCCAATGTTGTCTCCTCTGACTGAGCTCAGGGTCCTTTTGAAAACTTTGGTATGATATTGTATTACATAATACCATTACCAACATTCATTACCTTTGTCAAGAAGGTTATGTTTTTAGCGTGTCATGGTGGATTGTGGGTTTGTATAATTACTAAATACACGTAACAAGTTACATGTGTACATTGTAACTCTCTTAAAGATACTAAGAAGGTAGTACCCGATGTTACATTTTGGCAGCATACATACACACAAATATTAGTTACGTATGTCACCCTTCTACACATAGCGATGTCACCCTTCCACACATAGTCATGTCACCCTTCCACACATAGTGTCACCCTTCCACACATAGTCATGTCACCCTTCCACACATGTTATCGATGTCACCCTTCCACACGATATTGATGTCACCCTTCCACACATTGTGATGTCCACCTTCTACACATATTGTCACCCTTCCACACATATTTTTGCCGCCCTTCCACACACTTTAAGCCTACTGCAGTACTAGTGAGGGATACACATATAACTTGGTATCCCACACATACCTATAGTGATGCCCCCCTCCCACACATACCTATAGTGATGCCCCCCTCCCACACATACCTATAGTGATGTCTCCCTTGAGCTCAGCCTCTGTACACACCACTGCACCTGGCATCACCTTCACTTGACTGGGAGAGGGAGAAGGGGGAAGGACAGTTTTAATGTGCACTTATCAATGTAAAGCTACAGGGGAGGTGGGGACAAGAAATTTACATGTAACATCATATTCATAATGATGAAAACTGGTCACTGATCAAGGCTCAAACTTAGGTTTTGGGACACATTAACTTGGTTAAGGAACTTACTACACTTTTCAGACCAACTCCATATCTTCAAGTTTGAATTGTTATAAGAAGGATCATATTTAAGACTACATATGCCCAGCGTCAAAAGGAATGCACAGACTTAATCGTGAACCACCTTGTTGGCGTAAATGTACATTTGTATCTGTATCTACCGACAGCAGAATAATCTAAACCAGGATAGTGAGTGAGTGAGTGAGTGATCAGTATAGCCAGTATAACTGCCCATGTAACACACCAGCTTGATGTTTAAACTACATACTAGTACATGTATTGCTACATACATGTAACATTGTTAGTGTTACTAACAGTTTGTGACTCAAATGTACTCTCCAAGCAAATGTTTGGGTTTTGGGGGTATTTTAAAGGTGTTTTTAGGCTTTTTTATTGGGGTTTCTCTTTTGCAAGTTGAATTTTTTTTCCACCAAATCCAACTGGTGGGAAAAAAAATTCAGTGCAAAAGAGAAACCCTGATAAAAAAAAAGCCTAAAAACACCTTAAATATTAAAAATACCCCCAAAACCCAAACCCCTCCTTCTAGAGTAAGTCAAATGTAAATTCAGACAACACGCGTGTTTCCCTACCTGTGTCTTTTCCTCATTGGGCTGTGACTACCATGGTAGCAATATAAGGACAGGTGTACTTGTTAGCAACACATTTTAAAGGAGTCAGTTATACTTACTGCTTTAGCTCGCTGCTGTATTTAATAGTGATGTGCTAGAGGGTGTAGCCTGGATGCCAGACCCATACACAATGTGTACATACACAGAATGTAACTAAGTTACTAAGTAGCATGCTGGGCTCATAGTTAGCCAGTGTATGCATGCGTGCACATGTGGGTCACTGAGGGGGCTGCGGTATGATTTCCTTGGGGGCATGTTGGCCCTGGAGCCGAGGAACTGACCTGTATGTGCGGGCCCTGGAAACAGCCTAGCACCCAGGCTTTCTGATGTGGGGAACGGGTTATTTTTTTACTTAATTATACAATACGTTTGTGATCTTTCTACAGCTAATTACTGCCAGTAATTCCAACATAGGAACATAGAAAATTGCTGAAAGATCAAACAAACCAAGCGAAGGGTAGACTGGGAGCATAGGAATCTTGAAGGTACAAATTATTTTTCGAGGGAGTCCGGAGGGACCGGCCAGAAGTCGAAATTTGCAACTTGATTTTAGCTATCACTTACAACGTTGTAAGCCTACGGTGAGCATCGTACGATATATCTAGATTTTCAACTTAACTCTGCAAAAGTTTAAATGTTCTGATCGTGAATCTGGCGTCCCAAAAACTGACACTAAACCCTTAATTTGGCAACAGAAAAATCCTACCTCTTTTGCGCCGCCATGATGATGATGATAAACGGCACTTCACCAATAAATCGCTAGGTGGCGTAGTTTGAAAGAAGCATTGCGCAATGCGTGCTCGGGAATCTTCGGAAAATTCTTGAGGGGGCGTGTCGCAATTTTGACCAATCACAGCTCAGAATTTTGCTCGGATGACACTTCGGGAAACATCGTGACCAATCAGAAAGCTCCCAACATCCCGTGCGGGAGTATGAGCTTTACGATACTTTATTGCGTCACAGAAGAGCCAGCCGCCCGTCTAGGAGGAAGGAGAGAGAAACCATCTTTTTGAAGCCCGTTTTTCCAGTTTTTTCGTACTCCTACGTTTATTTCAAGGCTCCAAGCCCAACCGGCAAGCCTTATGTTACTTACCGCCCTGGAGAGTAGTGATAACCGCCAAAATTGCGTCGAAAAAGAAACGAAAAAAGAAAACAGGACTATGCCCAGCAAACGGCACCACCAAACCACTGACATGTGAGTATAATTTGCACAATTTCGTAACTTTTCTTACATTGCTAACAGTGTAATTGTATTTACTATTCCTTACATTGACTTAGAATGCCAAGATGATAGTCGTTTCTTGTTTTGATTTTGCATAACTTATAAATATTTAGCATGACAGGAAGCGCTGTCTTTTTACTGATTGCGCCGTCATTTCTCCCAACATGTCGTTTTTCATATCCGAAGTTTTCCCACATTTTTTGACCGAAAATACGTATTTTGTCTGTCGTCGATCTCTTTCCAGGTCCCCGCACCAATGTTATTGTTTTGACTAGTGTTTTGAGGGTTATATTTAGGTAGATCTGACATGTGAGCAGCCTTTCTTGACAAGTAGGTTGGGTTGACAAAGGAGAATTATAATGAGAATGGTGTCCGGTAGCCATATTGGATTTCTTTTTACACACAAACACCCTCGTCAACTTTCCTCTCTTTATCCTGGTAATGCCGAATAATTTTAGCAATCAGGGGGCTGGGCCTTGAACAAAGTGTTTTAGACATTTATTTTATTTGTTCAGATGTTTTGATTTCCACCACGATAGTGTGAAAATGGCTTTGTGACGTGTCGTATAATATTACCCGAGGAGAATTTTGTGACGTGTATTTACATACTTTGTTACGCCGGCCATATATTTTGGTCAGAAACACGATGATGTACTCAGAAATTCTAGAAAATAGAGGAAAATACGAGAAAAATTGAAGAGAAAATGGCACATTCCTGCAAGTTACGTGATTATTCTTTATCAGGCAATGGCGAATGGACTTTGGTTTTGCCGAGTTACGTATTATTATGGGGTGAACTTTAACGTTAGTCCTCCTTTCGTTGCGTAAGGGTCCAAGGGGGCTCTTGGGGGCTGCCATAAACGCGTAATTGCTGAAATTGCTGAGCCATAAAGATCTGAAAGGGCAAGGTTTTATTCCCAGGGTCGCATTTCTGAGAAGACAACCTTGGGCCACATCTGGTATTGATTTTGAGCAGCAAACTGGATCCAGCCAGTTACAGCTGCACCCTTTTTGAGCTGACAACACCTTTTCAAAATTATAATTCATACCCAAGTAATGAGCAACACACCTAGTTTGGGTGCACCAACACAAATCTACAATTTAGGTGTGCACATACTGTACCTATTTTGGGTACGTCAACTTCAAGTTCAACCAGTCCATTTGCCTGCTTGCCCGGGGCAAGTAAAACGTAAAAGCAAGCATCGATAGTGAAACTCAAAGTGGTGTATCCCCTGTAGGCAAGTAAATTTTCATATACAACCAACCTTCCTGGTTTTTTAATGCCCTATTATATATTTGACCTATGCAAAACTGGTAATTTATTGTGCACTTTGTCGAAATGTCTCATTTTTGGGTTTCGTTTGGTTGGATAATGATCATTCTGGAACACTCATTTTCACCTGAGGGAAGTGTACAGTAGTGTAACACTAACAGTGAAACCTGTATATGACTCTTGTCACATGATTATCACAACTCCGAGATCTTAACGGGTTGAAGAAGAGACAGAGGGCATCTCAAAAGCTGCCCAAAGTAGCTGAACGTATGTTATGTATTCTGGTATAAATATTTGTCACAGTGTTTGTTTACTCTTTGGTTATATTTCTGGATGTTTTCCCCCAGACGACTGCCCCAAGACTGCTGCTCAACCCCCGCAGGGGGGGCCGGGTGGTGCTCCTGATGTCCCCACCGGCGAGGCAGACTGGGGAGGGGGCGGGGTCAGCACACAGGAGGACGGCAATGGAGCGTTCGCACGACGCCTCTTTGGGGTGAGTCCGCAGAAAACACTGTTCACATAGGAGTGGGACAATCATTTGTAACCGTGAGAAATCCACAGTGCTGGGACGGAATTTGACCAGCTCCGACTTTGTTGTCTTTCTCAAGAATGATAGAGATAGGACCGCTCCTCCTTTTATACCTTTCCTGTGCCTCTAGTGCAAGGCGCTCTGCTCAAGTTTGCGATATTAACTAATCATCTAATCTCATTTTGCTTAGTAGGAGTATTTTGCTTAGTCATAGTGGGACTAAAATGTTGCTATCCACATGCTGCTTACATCTCGAAAACATACTGCTCTTTTAAAAGCTCAGGGTCATTATTGGACTCCCTAGTAGTTTCCTGTAATATTGTGACACAAAATGTCCATTTTCTGTAGTCCTATTTTTTTTTTTTTACCTTACATGGGTTTGGTTCTTCAGCGGCAGATAGTTTATCAACCACGAGGTAGGCTGTGAATCCCATTTCTTTAAAATAATTCCAAGAACAACAAATTCCAAGATGTTAATGAAAACTTTTGTTTTTTCCAGGATCGGCTGACCCAGTACAGCAGTGAGCTCCAGTCCCTGCGTTTCCAGTCGCGACTCACCGACTCGCGACACGTGGAGTGGGAGGCCGTCCTCTGGCGCAGCGTTCTATTGGTGGAGGTCCCCGTGGGCATCCTGCCGGACGGCAGCAAGGAGAGGTAGGTCAGAGGTCATGCACTGCAATGTCAGAAGTCAGTAGAGGTCACATGATATTTTGGCTCTGTTTCTTCTTTGATCTGGACCAGATAGCTATCACCATTGTAACTAGTGCCGCAGCAGGCACCCTGAGTTGGAGGGCTGGCTATGTGAAGCTAAACATTGTTTCCTCGTTTTAAAGTTAAAACTTTTGGTCCAACACAAAATTTCTCTCACCTAGAGCTTTCAATCAGTCACTCTGGTCTTCCCATGGAGGTAAAAATTAACTGTATGGTCCTCCTCAAAGAAGCCAGGTGACAAGCCTCAGTGGGTCAGTCGACTGAGGAAGACCAAAATGACTGGTCGAAAGCTCTAGGCGAGAGAACTTTTTGTGTTGACCAATAGTTTTAACTTCAAACCTGTAACAACCAACACAGATGAACTTTCATGATATTACGTTTCTTCGTTTATTAAAGACTTCCTTGCTTTTTTTTCCCCAGTTTTGTAAACCTCCTTGACTACGCGGAGGAGAAACTCCAGTGTGAGACCGTGCTGATCTGTTTCAAGAAGGACCGGACTGACCGCGCCTCTCTCATCCGAGTCTTCATGTTCATGGGGTTAGAGGTCGTGACCCCAGGTCACCCCGACGTCCCTGACAACCCTGATTACTTCTTCATGGCCTACAGCATTGACTAGGCTGGCCTGACCACCCCTGTGGTTGTGAATGTGATAGTCCAAATTGTGTGATGTTACTGGAATCAGGATAGGATGGGTCATACCATTTCCAGCTTGAGGGGGATAGATAAAATCAAAAGGGCAGTCAGCTTGTTCATGATGTAAATGGGATCGACCACTTCACACATGGGGGTGTTCTGGCCTGAGCTAGTCAGGAGGTCTTTGAGTGAGCTTATCCAATAAGAATGGACGATACAGTAAGAGCTTGTGAACTGGTGGAACACATCAATGCTTTTTTTCTTGTAACATTTGTAACATATTTTGTGATTGGTAATTGGGGAATAGGTTTCACTTTGGGTTAGGTGTTTGTTGAAGTTTTGTTCGTTTTTTTGCAAATCACTAAGTACTAGTGGCCAAGTTACCAGTAGTTGTATTATATATTGTACACGGTTCTAACCAACTTATTAAAATTTAAATGGTTGTTCAGCACTTATTAAGCTATGTTTAGTTCACTTGAGATAAGTTGCACCTAATAAACTTAAGGCCGTCTGACCTGTTTTGTTTAAAAAAAAATGTTTAACTTTGAATGTATGCTGAATTTTGTTTGTGAAAAGGCTTTCTCCATGGCAAGTGAAATGCAGTTACACATAAAATGTTCCCAACTTCCAACCAAACATTTTGCTTGTGTTTGATGTGTAATGATGTTACCATGCAGTGATGAAACATACTTCAACTTTTTGCAATGGCTAAGGGGTGGTACCTTCCTGTGTTTTGATTTAAACTTTACTTTTTTGCATTCCTTGTCTCAAAACTATTTTACTCAGTCATCAAAAAGTTGCAACAGAAAGTTCTTGGAATATGTATTCCTCACTTGGTAAAGTTAGTTGATCACTTTACTTGCCTCAAATTTGAAACAACTGCTCATGTCAGTGACTGTAAGCCAGGATGTCCTGTCACTAACATATAATGTAATTATTTTGCATAGATTTAAAAAAAATGTATGTGCATATTTTTTAGGCACCAGAAAAGCCGTTTCCACGCAGAGTGTTGTATCTGAGATGGTGAGTTGCAAGTCTGTGTGTCCAGTTCATCTCGTGAAGATGTGATGCTGGTGGAATAAAATCTTGTAAGAAGCAATACAATTATTATTGTTTATTTTTTTGCAATAACATAAAGTGCGTACTACAAGTTAGAGGATAGCTTATTGAAATGTGCGTACAGATACAGTATATAAATGGTCCTAAGCCTTTTCAGGGGTTGGCCAGTGCAATGGTGAAGTGGGTAAAATTTGCATTTGCTTGCGTAGGTCGTGAGTTCGATACCCGGCATACCCAAGGCCAAGACTAAAAATGGCTTAGAGATGTTTTTCCGTTCCCAGTCTAAAGCAAACACCTCTGCTGACATGCAAGCTGGTGTGTTAAGCCGAAAGGCGGTTATACTGATATACCGGCTATACTGATACAGATACAAAAGACCTTCAGTTCACCTATACCACTGTTGACACAACAATTAAAACGTGATGCTAAATACTATCATACATTTACTCTGACCATCTTCCACCCCCACTAAATTCCTATTCATTTCATCAGGATATTTGTGTTGACAATCTTTAGAAAAAAAAATAATACCGGACATACGTGTCAGACTATTAACTTGGCCTGGGTGCCATCTTCCGTAGTTTCCGCCCGCTCCCTAATGTTTGTGCATGCATATGGCTACCACTCTGCTCATCTTCCACCCCCACGAAATACCTATTCATTTCATCAGGATATTTGTCTGTGGTGTCATTCTTCAGAAAGAAAAAAACTAATACCGGACATACCTTCAGACTATATATATCAGCCCGCAAAGGAATTCTAGACGTGTTTTTGCGGATTTGATCGGCCTGAGCGCACGTCGTACGGCCATGGAGAGAATGAGCAGGCTTTACGTCGCTGTCCTGGTTCTGGTGGTTCTGAAGTTTTCCTTGCCCTGCCCTGAGGAGTGCTTCTCGCGATACCGAACGCGTGAGAATAACTGCAAGTGCCCGAGGCAGCAAAATGAGAACAATATGAAGTGCTATTCCCGCCAAGACTTAGCGGTAAGTCCCAAACAATCAAAACCGTTCTGCCGAAACGCTTAACAGAAACTCTACCTGTTTTAAGTTCGCATTCTTAATTAACACAAGCATTGAGATCAAATATACTTGTACTACTGGTGTAAAAGTACTCTTTAACAAGTTATTTCCAAACTCTTCAAATGATGATTTTAAGATTGACTTGATAAACAGGTTATTTTCAATGTTACGCACTTGTTGACATATGTACGACAAGGTAACGACAGCAAATTTAATTGGGAATGTTTTGGAAAAGCTGTCATGTGACAGAAGAAATTGTGGTTAAAGCATGTCAAAAATCTGGTCTCTCAAAGCCTCACTTTAATCCAACGACAAAACAAAAGACGATGAACGTGATAGTGGGTTTTCTTTTTCCCAAAGTGCAACCAATTTTCCCAAAGTGCATCTTTGTTGTTTTTCAACAGGTTGCCGCTAACCGTGTTTGCAGTGCAGAAAATCATGGCCTGACGTGTCTAAACGGCATTCCTACCGGGTTCGACCAGTCCGTCATTGGAATCCTACTGAACAATCTGTTCAACATCACCACCCTCACCAGACACGACATTCCACCGTTACGCAAACTCTTCAGATTAAATATAATCGGCAGCACCATCCAAGCAATCGGTAAGAGGAATATGTCATCTTGTTACATGATAACACATAACACGATTTTGCAGACGATCTAGGCGATCTTCTATCTCTTTAGGTCTTGGAAAAATATGTTTCTGCTTACAGCCATGAAAAAATATCGTCGGCAAGCAAGGGTGATTCTGTTGGGTTTTTTTCTTCGTTTTTGACAGTTTGGGTAATAAGGTCTACGGCAAAACATTTTAAACAATAGTTAAAGATTAAAAATATTCTTGTGCTTGCTTTTCTCGTACAGAAGCGGGTGCGTTCTCCTCTGTACCGGCCATACGATGGATCACCATCAAGTGTAGCCGCCTCCAGCATATCGGTGAAGATACCTTCCAAAACCTACCCAGTTTAAAGACAATCTCTCTAGATCACAACCTCATCGAAACCGTGGCTTCAAGAGCGTTCGTCGGCCACAAAAGCTTAACTACGATCATCTTAAGCGGGAATCAACTAAAGGAAGTTCCTTTTGAAGCTTTTTCCCTGATTCGCCACAGTGCCACAGGCGCGGGGATACATGTCAATCTCAATAACAACCAGATCACTACGATATTGGAGGCAAATTGGATGAAAATCGTTGACACGCGGCTCAGCATACATCTCTATTTCAACCCCTTAGTCTGTAACGGTAGGATCCGATGGCTCGTCTGTAACACCACGAAGTTGTACCACGGCGTCCTCTTACAGGCTGGTCTCCTAAAGTGCACGTCACCGCCTGAACTGGCCGGCTACGACTTCAAATCGCTCCACGCCAACTCATTCTGCTCATCCACAGAGCCGACAGCCAAATCCATGATGACATCGACTTCCACATTCCCAAACGCAATGACGTCTGGTACCATGGACAGTACCCACGGCGTCACGTTGGAGAGGGATCTTGATGACGGACAGCAATCGGACAACATTTACATACCCATCGCAGTTACCGTCGGCGTGATAGTTCTGGTAGCTGGGACTGCAGCTATGGGTATAATATACAAGCAACATGTGTCAAAGGGAAGACAAAATCCGGTCCACGGACAGCAAGGCGTCATCATCAGTTCTCAACTCATCCGCAATCGACTGTACCAACCCTCCGGATCTGCCACTGGTGACGACAGGGACAAGGAAGAGACGGAAGAAACTGTGGAGGATTCGGCAAGACAGAATCCGGTCCACAAACGTCACGGAGTCATCATCGACACATCTCAACTCATCTCTAATCAGATGTACACATCGTCTGCATCATCTGCCAACAGCGCCAATCAGGACACACTAATGACAGAAGAAACTGAGGAGGATTCGGCAAGACAGAATCCCGTCCATAAACTGATCGACACATCTCAACTGATCTCTAATCGTCTCTACGGATCGTCTGCATCATCTGGCAACAACGCTAATGAGTACACAGAAACGACAGGAGGAACAGGGGAGAACTCAGATCTGACACCTCACCTCACGGTACCTCTTGATGTCCTCAACAACACCCGTATAATCGAACCGTACAGCAGTGTGGATTTGGACGACATCAGCAACAACGAAGAAATGAAGGACGACTTGGGTCCATCGCGTGGAAACCTGGAGGTCCAAGACGAAGATGACATGGAACCGTATTCAACCACAACTTGGGATCAAATTGGCGATCCTTAAGCTGATATTGCATGCAAACATGTAAAAATAACCGAGCACGACACAGTTAGAGAGCACACTTTTCACTAGTACAGTCGGAAACAATAAGCTATATGCTTCCCTCTGCAAGAACAAAGTTTACTTACTTACTTACTTTCTTCAAGTCTTTTTGTCATCAATTTATTAAGCTGTTTAATCAGAATCCTCCATTTTTAATGCTTTACCTGTATCTCCTAGTAGAGCCTATATAACCGCCATTGGCATAATACACCAGCTTGTAACACACTACATACTAGTGTATATATAAAATATGTTTCTAGATTCACTGTCATTATAACTTGGAAATAAAACGCCATTCAGGCTATTTTTTTTCTGCAATGTTGGTATGTGAGTCTTGAGAAATTTGAAAAAAATGTACATATCAACAATCTGGTGTTTGCTTGTTTGGTCTACAACATAGCGCTTTCTTTGTTTTTTTTCTGCAAACCGCATTGAGAAGTCGGACGCAGAACTTTCCTCTGACTTCCCTGGGTGCCGGTCGGAAGCCCCGATAAATTAACTAAAGTTGCACCGAGGCAAAATCTCATAGGATAGGTGGAGTGAGGAAAGTCGTCTGAAGTGACTTTTCCAATGAAATAACGTCTACCTCGTAGGTCCCTTTTTTTTTCTAATCATTGCAAAGTGAACCTGGTCTTAACATCGTATATCGATGATTTTCGGTTCAATATAATGTCACATCAATTCCCCTCGCTTAAGTGCACAGACACATTCGATCCCAAAATTATCAGATACATTATACATTATACATAATTGCATGGTACATAATTAATTGTCATAAATTAGAAAATCTCTAAGAGTTCAACAAAAAACTGTTTACAGCAGTCTTGAACTTAGTCATATTGGGACTGTCAGGGAAGACCGAGGCTGGTAAGGAGTTCCACAGCCTGCTAGTCCTTGGTACATATGAGGACATGTGAAGCTGAGTGTTGGATTTTGGAACTTTAACAAGGTATGGGTGCCCACTTGTGGTTGAACGAGTTACTCGCGTTCCAGATACTTTGGTCGGCAGAATTCCAGTGAGTTCCTCTGAGGGTTGCAGGAAGACATGCCGATAAAAGGTACTCAGACTGGCTACTTTTCTCCTGTGTTCCAAGGGATATATTCCAACCTTTTGCGGATCCCCAATTTGGAGCTGACGTACAGCTTTCTTCTGAATGCTGTCAAGTAGCTTAAGTACAGTTGCACGAGCTCCGCTCCATATTGGGGAAGCATATTCCATGAGGGGACGAATATATGCCTTATACACTGTTATTCTAGCCTGAAGAGGGAGAAGGTCTCTGGTGCGCCCAAGGATGTATAACCTCCTGGCCGTTTTCTTAGCAAGAATTTTGATGAACGGAGTCCAGGATAGAGTATTGGTAATAGTAACACCAAGAAGGGTAATGCTATGAGTAGGCTTTAGTTCTTCATTCATGAAGTAGAGAGGAGGGTGGTTCTGTTCTCGTTTCCTACTTATAATCATCTCTTCAGTCTTTCCAGCATTAAATGTAATGCACCAGTCACAGGCCCATTTGTCTATCTTGTCCAGATCACACTGTAGGCTTGCAGCACATGTGTTTCTGAGCCCAGGATTTTTAATGACAACATGTAAGGTCGAATCATCCGCAAAGAGGTGGAGATCATTCTTTAGATTCTTCACCCTTCTCTGCATACCGAACAACAAGGTCTTCAATCCAATTTTTATGGCGTGTGACGTCATTGCCGTTACCATTAACAACGGACGTTTTGGCAGACGTGAATATTCAACCAGACAGCCTTTTTATGAAATTATGTATTTAGATCACGCTAGATCATAAGTGGAGAAGAAAATAGCATTCGGTCTTTGTGATAAGACAGATCTTTGGTTACCATTCTCTACAGGTCGGCTTAGATGTGTTTTCCGACCGCAAAGGCCTCTCCTGGAATGCAAGACATTCACACAAACCATTGTTGACACAATCAACGCAAAATGCGATGCTGAATACTATCATACATTTACTCTGCCCGTCTTCTACCCCCGCAATATGCCTATTCATTTCATCAGGATATTTGTCTGCGGTGTCAATCTTCAGCAAAAAACCTAATACCGGACATACGGTCATACCAGTCAGCTATTAAGCCTGGGTGCAATCTTCCGTAGTTTCCGCCGGGTCCCTAATGTTTATGCATGGCTACCACACTGCCCCCCCCACACACACACACACACACAAAATGCCTATTCATTTCATCAGGATATTTGTCTGTGGTGGTAACCTTCAGAAAAAAAACTAGTACCGGACACACCAGTCGGACTATATATCAGTTCCGGCTACGGATTTCTAGACGTATTTTTGCGGATTTGATCGGCCTGAGCGCACGTCGTACGGCCATGGAGAGAATGAGCAGGCTGTGCGTCGCTGTCCTGGTTCTGGTGGTTCTGAAGTTTTCCTTGCCCTGCCCCGAAGAGTGTTTCGAGTGGGAGAAAAACAGTAGGAATAACTGCCAGTGCCCGAGGCAGCATGTCGAAATCACTATGAAGTGCTACTCAAGCCGAGGCCAAGCGGTAAGACCTTAGCACTTAAAATCGTCTATCTGACTTAGAAAATGGCCATTTCCCCTAAGTTTTCTTTTAATTGTTCTTTGTTCAAATCAATTTTTCTTGTTCAACTTCAGTTTTTATTGTTTAATATCAGTTTCAATACAGCATTTGTCTTTAAAAAAGTAAATTTGCTCTGTTTGTGTTTTATTCCTCTAGTCTCTTTGGTGATTAGCTTGACAAAGGGGGACCTGGCTTTAACTAAAACCCCAAAAGTATGGTACGACGAAAAAGTGTGGTACTATTTTATGTAAATGAGATCATTGTACCACACTTTTTTGACAGTACCACACTTTTCTGCACTACCGAGATATAAACAGAGAAAATAAAGGGATCTCATTGGCTGAGAGGTAGTGGCCATAACTTAACGAACTACACCTTTGTTGTTTTTCACCAGGTTGCCGCTAACAGTGTTTGCAGTGCAGAAAATCAAGGCCTGACGTGTCTAAATGGCGTTCCTACCGGGTTTAACCAGTCCGTCATTGGAATCCACCTGAACAACCTGTTCAACCTCACTACCCTCACTAAACACGACATTCCGCCGTTACGCAGCCTCATTAGATTAAATATAATCGGCAGCACCATCCAAACAATCGGTAAGGGCATATATGTCACATTCTTACATGATGATTTTGTAGACGAAAGACACAGCAATCTATGGGGGATACATAAGAGCTACATTTAGGCGATCTTCTATCTCTTTAGGTCTAGGAAAATGTGGTTCTGGTTGCAGCCCTGAACAAGTAGCGTCGGTAGACAAGGGTGATTCCGTTTTTACCTCCATGAAATGGCACAAAGGTTATATTTTAGTTGCGTTTGTCATTCTGTCATTTTGTCAGTCATTCTGTTGGTCAACAAGATAACTCAAGAACAGCTGGATGGATTGCTTTCATACTTGGTGCGTTGGTAGCATGTGACGAAAATTTGGAGGTTGGTAAAAAGAAATGATTGGATTTTAGGCCCCCTGGTGGCTCCTCTTGGAACTGCAGCAGAACGTCCGGTTTTGATATCTCTCCGTTTGGACATGCTGTGGTCATGTATTTTGGATTGTAGGTAGCTCTAGTTGTTGTTTTTTTTTCTTTCTATTTCTTTTATGTACATTTTATTAGATCCAACAAAAGCAGGGTTCGGTGAATTACACATCGCTCCCGCCTTCTTGCAATTGACATCGCTGGACCGGAAGACACTTTTTATTTCACAGTTTGAATTGGGTAAAAAAAACTACGATCCACCCTAACAATGATTAAAGATTAAAATGTTCTTGTGCTTTCTTTTCTCGTACAGAAGCGGGTGCGTTCTCCTCCGTACCGGCCATACAATGGATCACCATCAAGTGTAGCCGCCTCCAGCATATCGGTGACGCCACCTTCGCCAACCTCTCCAAGTTAAAGGGAATCTTTCTATATTATAACCTCATCGAA